AATCATTAGGAGCGGGCGAGAGCAGTAATAATTAATAGCCAATAAACTACTCATCGGCAATGTCCCCGTGTTTCAGTAAAATTGCCGTCTCTACTTTTTTCGCGAGAAGTTGGAGTCGTCCGGTGGAACATCGAACGTCAAGTCCCGCTAAAATAAAGTAGCCGATAAATTAATGACGCCGGAAGTATAAAAGCGGAGTAGAGGTCGAATACTTTTCTCACCGCTTCAAATGAGATTAGTTAATTACGGTTGGTCACCAGCTACGCATTTAAATATCACTGATTCGCGTATCCGTCAACCGGAACGCGTATCAATACTTTCAGCACTTGGAAAATGATGCGAAAAGGATGCGAATGTAGTGGAGATTCTGTACGAGCGTATTTCAAGAGGCGTCGCTCTCTCCCCTCCCTCTAAATTCAAGAGAGAAACAATTGAATTATGGAAATTATTTTTGCGACAAAAAATTAACTCAAACAGCAGAAAATCTAAATCGAGATGTAAGACGTCGAAAAGACATTTTGCGAGAACCTTTTAAAAGGCTTCTAAGATTAATTTCTATCAATAAATAAATTTCTATCAATAGATTAACTTCGATCTCTCGAGTTTATTTAGTTTTTATTTATCCTTTTTTAATTCTTAGAATTAGAAGATGATAAAAAATAAGTTAAACCAAGATTAAAGTTAATGTATGTTGATAGGAATGAACATTTTTCATTTTCTGAATGAATTTACGGGTTAGACTTAACCAGAAATAATGGAAAAATATTAATTTTTCTCGCTATGGTTAATCACTAAACTGATGATTTTGTATAAATTAGAATAATTTTTAAAATTATTCACTACAAAACTATCAGTCCATTAATTAACCATAGCTGAAAAACACTTTTACATTATCATCAAATTAAGTCTAAACTACCAATTAATCAGAAAAGCCAGACGTCAAAGACGTCTTATATCCTGATTTTAGGCTTTGTGTTGTCGTGAACACTCGTTGACCAATGCCTCGCTTACATTAATATTCCCTAACACATCTTTTACGTAAGTAGCTTAATAAATTTTATGTAAATTTATGCCCCTCTCTACTAAAATTCTATTTTTAAAAAATTCTATTTACGACATATCCTGCTACAATCAGTCAAAAATAATGCAAATACAGAAATTAATGAATTAGAATCTCGAGTAACTGCATAATTCCAGAATGACTTAATTTCTGTAATTGAGACAATTATAGCTGCATCTGTACTTACGTCGATTATACCGTGCAGAAATCGTTTTGTTTACCTTACATTATTCGATTGTTACGTTTTTCGTAATAGAGAATATCTTAAATTATTATTACTAAGTACTCTTTTATTAAATTGCAACGCGATAATTTTTCTCTCGTTTACAAAAATATATAGAATGGATGAATTGCATGATATAAATAGCATTCACGAATGAACGCGAGGATAAAGAGGAGCGATAGGTGTAATCTGTAATCAATGACTTTATGTAATAATGTCTATATTTATAAGTTAGGGTAATTATAGGCAAGCGTAAATGTACTGCCTATGCTATAAAATTTGAATTTAATTGAATTTGCTTTAAAGTTTTTAAAATATATTAGAGGTAAAAAAGAATATTAAAAAGAAAGAGATAACAAGTGCTATTTGTTTATGTTAATCGGTCACATTACTTTATAATTAATTCCTTTTTATTTGATTGTTAATAATCAGTACTATATATCAAAATTGTAATATATTTACTTATAACTGTATTAATTATATTTATATTAATTATTGTTTTTATTTTACAGGTAGTCACATTTTGCTCGAGAAATTACGAAAGTATAAGCCAAAAATTGCAGTATTCAACGGCAAACTCATATACGAAGTATTCTCGGGAAAGAAGGAATTTGGGTTTGGCAGACAACCGAACCTCGTCGACGGCACCAATACGGTAAAATAGCTTACATTTTTCTTCATGCTCTTGCACTGAAAAAATATTCTGCGTAACGCAAAATTCAAAAATTCCTCGAGGAAAATCATTTAAAGGAATTCTAAAACATTCGGACGTTTCACGCAACTTTACTTGCTTTTTGTGTTGCTCAGAATATTAGAAATGAGATCTGTTTTCTGTTCCTGTACTAGACTGCACTAGAACTCTTTTTCTCGTTTTTGACAAATATCGAATCTTTCTCACTCTCTCTCCACTTTCAGTTCCAAAAGTGTACACTAATTCAGCCACAGAAAACAGACCTCTGATACCTATAATTTCAGTGAATTCAGTGAGAATGTAGGTCTCGGACAACATGTTATCATAAATAAACAGAGATCATTTTCGCTATATTTTGACTGTGCCATTTGAACTCAACGAAATTATTTTACCATAAGAATTTTACTGGATCGTATATTTGAAAATTCAACAGTAAGAAATATAATTAACGACCGTAACGATCAAAACTAGATCTTTAATGTTCAAATAATTCAATCTGAATTACTATGTATACTATATATGTAATTATTTTCTATTTACCATACATGTATGAAATTTTAATGTTTATGATTTTAATGACATAATCGTCTAGGCAAAATCCTCACTTCTCGATGTTGTGTATTGCAGTACATGTGGGTTATGCCCTCAAGCAGCGCGAGGTGTGCTCAACTACCACGTGCTGCTGACAAGGTGCCATATTACGCTGCCCTGAAGAAGTTCCGCGACTACCTAAACGGTACGATCACGCACTTGGACGAATCAGACATCGTATTCGCCGATTCAAAGCTCAAGAAAAAGGAACACGAACCGATCGAGGATAAGAAGCCAGTGTTTACCGACGATTTGCCCGACGGTGAGAGCCGAATCACGGAGATCAACGGCATGGGAATTAAGCAGGAGACGGGCGTGTTACCTGGCAAGAAGAAACGCGGAAGACCGAAAAAGATAAAAAATCCAGAGGATCAGCCACCGCCGGATCCTGAAAAGCTGGACGCAAACGGCGAGGTTATTAAAAAACGTCGCGGTCGTCCGAAAAAGATCCATCAACAGCAAAAGCAAATGGAGCGGGAGAACCGTGAGAGAGAGCAGCAACAGCAACAGCATCAGGTGATGGGCCACTTGAACGACGGGTACAGTAACGTGTCGAACTGCTTTTCGCCACCACTGATGTCACCTCCAAAGTTCCAGCATATGGCGCCGTACGCGCCGACGATGAATGACGGCTTCTTCGGCCAGGGGATAAACGACAATAGCCCGTACAATATGAGCGCGAAGCAAAGCCCTGTGCACCTGCAGCAGCATTACAGCCAGAGCCCCAAGTCCATGTCGCTGTCGTTCACGCACTCGGACTTATCGTCGGAAATCAATACTGCAATCTCGTCGGAGAACAATCTCGAGCCGTCGCCTTTGACGTCGCCTAGCGTCGAGCATCCGGACTTTGAACCGCCCACCAGCATGTCGCAGCAAAACATGGGCAACGACCATCGTCAGTATAATCCGGCCGGAGGGCCCGATCCGACGGGTCACCATGGCAGTCCTGGCACGCCGTCCCATAACAGCTACGCCAACTACATGGGTTACCACGAGCAGCCACCAGACGCGCATAATCCGCATCCGCATCAGACGACATCGACGCCTCTCAGCCAGACCGCCGAGGAGCACTCCCATCATTCGCATCCAACGCCGCCGCATCCACATACGCCCACCCATACGTCCATGTCGCCGCACCATCCGCACGAGCAATACGTCATCAAGAGGAACTCCGGCCAGGACGTGGCGTCTAAGAGTCTGAGCGACCTAGAATCCCTCGTGGACCAGATCCCGAGTATAGCCGATGGCGGTAGTCAGCGTCTGCAACATGCGCATCCGGGTATGCCGGGCGACGATAGCATGGGGGACAAGTTGGACCACCATCAGTCCTACATGTCCGGTTTCGGCGGCATGCAGGCTGGACCAGCTGGAATGGCCAATTACAGTCCACCGTTGCCGCCGGGTAGCGGAATCTATCCATCCTCGCTACACCACTCTCCCACCGACGCTGGCTACGGAGGTTTGTACGCTATGAACAGTCGTCATCATCAAGACTCTCAGCAACAGCAGCAGCAGCAGCCACAGCATCAACAACAGCAGCAACAGCAGCAACAACAGCAGCAGCACAGCAAATCCTACACGGTGGAAAATCTCGCGTCCAGTAACTACACCCCTAGCATGAATCACGGACACCCCAGCAACTCTTACCCCAACATCATAACCGGGCACTATCCGGTGCCGATGGGCTCGACCAATGGGTACCTGTTCGGAGGCCTCGAGACAAGCTTGATGCAGCGTACGTACGGAATTGGTGGGATGAGCGGCATGAGTAGCATGCATCCATCCGCCGCCCTCGGCCACCCGATGGCGGGCAATCCGTATCCGTACAACGGCTCGTACTCAAGCTCGTTCGACGCTTATCCAGCGCCACCGACGGGCATACACGCGCCCAGCGCCAATTACCCCGGCTACGTCGGCACGGCTGGCGCGGCGTCCAGCAGCACCACCACGCCGCCGTCCTACCTCGCACCGTCGCACCACAGACCGCCGGTCGACCTCTCCTACGACGGTGTATGATAATCGATGTGAGATACCGTTCGCCGACCCACCACCACCACCAGCCCCCGATGATCCTATCTCTTTCTCTCTCCATCTCCATCTCCATCCCGTCCCATCCTCACCGACCTCACCGACCTCACCTCCGCGCCTGCCGATCGCCTCCTGTGCGCGCGCGCGAGCGACGCACGTATCCGCCGCGTTTATCTTTTCTACGTATTTTTACACACGTCTTTTAAGACACGGCTCTCAACGTGTCGGGGTCGCACCGTCGCGCGTCGTCCCCCCCCGAATCGCCGTTCCTTCATCCCCGTCATTTTCTCTCTTTAAATCGCTCTCTCCGCGAAATCACCCTCCGCGAGATGCTATCTCCAATCTGCGCGCAATCTTTCGCTCTTTGTCGATCCATTTGCCGCACGATACTCTATTTCCTCTTTTTCACTTACCTTTGCTCAAGCCAGTTCTATGTACAAAGCACCCCAGAATTGGCGAAAAATGGATATACACATTTTTCCTCTCACCGAGATAACATCGAGATAACTCTGATAGCAATAATGAACTATTATCCGAATTATTATTAGATAGTACATCTAATGCATTTTCTTTCAGATGGATACTACTTTAAGAATCTGAAGCTTAGTTCCTAAGATATTGAAACCGAGATTTGAAACATTGTGTGAAAATGAAGATGTCCTCCCTACCAAAAATGAAACGTAAGACAAAAAAGAATGCAAGTCGAATGTAAAGGGAGAGTGATAGAAGCGTAAGCAAACGTAAGCAATACTCTAAGGAGATTGGAACGATGTAATGTAAAAGAAGCATTAAAATGCTTTACCCTTCTTTTACATTCTATTATTTCAATTCATTACGTACCTTAAATCGTTTGCTTATGTTTCTGTCACTATCTTTACGTTCGATTTCCGCTCCTTTTTCTCTTGTGCTTTATTTTCGCCAGGAATTCGAGGCATGCATGCTGTATCGTGTCTATATTGCGTCAATTTTGGGGCAGCCTATGCAACTGTCGGTCTTTCATTTCAACGTCTCTCCACTCTTTCTCCCTGCATCTCGCTTCTCTCGTACTCAATTTTTTTTTTATCACGCTCTCGATATGTGATTACGCCGTGAGTAATTACGGGCGCGCGGCTCGGGAACGGGAAAACCACTGGTGAAACGCGACTAGCGCACGCAACGAACGAGAATTGTAAGGGTAGATCAGGTTCGCCGATCGCGTTCTGTACCGATCCGATCGCTAAAATACACTTACACGGGCACGCATTCTGATAACCATAACGATAAATGACCTTAATACCGAACAGATCACGGATTACGAATTCGGCCGACGTAGCCAAGGTCGGGTAAACATGTAATTACGCTATTCTTCTTTCCTACATCGATTAGGAAGTATCGACCACACTGATTGCTACGAGCATATCTACGAGCTTTAACCGAAACCATGTTTCCGTAAACTCTTTCGTATTTCGAAGGGCATTCAATATTGCAAATAGGGTATATAGATGGGTATGTATCCTAATTTGTAATTGCAAATTGTTATCTTCGAAAGTCAATAAGAAACGACGCAACATAAAGTAAAACACAAAGTCCAAAATATTACCGATTATATCGAAACAAGTATAATTTCGACTAATTCAAATTCTCGATGCACAGGAAATAAATGATTTGTTAGATAATTAATTTAGTTTAATCAATGACCATTAGTTATTGTGCAATAGTTATTGTACATTGATTGATTTTTCACTTAATATTTCTCTTATTTATAAATGATATTGTGATGTTATCATTTTATATAAAATATATAACGTTATATATTATTTATATATATATATATATATTATATATTGTTTATATATAATATTATCTATTTTATATTATAAAAATGACATGATAAAGTATAATATTATTTATTGAGAATAACGAGAGTGCAATAAGATTTTTGTGATAATGTTATAAAAATGACTTTTCCGTGTCTATCAGAAATGGAATTAATCGAATTTATACCGGTTTCGTTACGACAAAAAAGAACGCGCTACGATTGTACGATTAGAATAATAGCATCGATCATTTACTTATCATTTATGTATCGCATTGCGTCTTAATACCATTAGCCTGTTGTAATGTTATTAATGTGTTGCGTATTTGATTAATTAACACGTCAAATGCTGCACTTTATATGACGATGCAATTTCACGTCATCGGAATTGCTATCTTAATTTCTCTAAAAAATCGACGATTTGCTTCGTTTTACAATTTTACGTGATAGGGCGCACGTAATATTATTTGTTAGAAGCGATATTTATATACAATTTTTTCATTATTCAGCTTTTAACACAGAAATGATCGAAGAATTGATTATCTTGACGGAAGAAGAGAAATCCGCCGAGAGATTTATCTTTTATAAACTTGTAACTAAGGAGTCATCTCCTCTCGATGAGCAATCGTTCTCATTTCGATCGTGCACCGAGCCGAGCTTAATCGAATTGAAAGTTTCAAGTTCACGAGGAACTCTGTAGTTCGCTCGGTTGTGCCATAATGAGGTATCGTTGCTAATATAGCAAATTAGTCTAAGTAAAAGTGATAGAAGGGACGCACGTAAATAATTGTTGACCCATCGAAAAATTACGAAGCTCGGTTGTGAAATTACGATTTTACGTACCCTCTCACGTTTCTACGAGTCCGTGTTCGTTATCATACAGCAACAGAAGTTGAAATAAGAACGCGATCAATCGATTAGATATCCTTGCGTTCGAAGCATCATCGTTTCTGAACGCGCGAATCTGCATCGACCATTATCAGCGCGGTCGGATGTTTCTTAGCCCGAATAAAAGATACGCTATCATTTCTTTCGTTTATTCTTTTTTTTCTTGCCACGCACAGAGTGTTCCAGATGAAATAATTTTCCAATTTCCGTTTTTGTTTATTTTCCACCGAAAAATCACATCTCCTCATCGCGCTCTAACGAGAGATGAGCGCGTGGAAAAAATGTCACCAAATTGCGCGCCGCGCGTCGCTCTCGCGCTCGCAGCACGTGAGCTTTTTTTAACAGAGTAAATATTAATCGTTATCGTCATTGTATCGTTAAGGTTACTGCACATAGCAAGGAAAAAAAAAATCAAGCCCGATTGCGTCGGTGCATCTTCAATCGTGGCACGACCACTTTCGTCAACGTTGGTCAAATTTAACCGTAGTTTAATCCTTATCCGGGGAAAAAGGAACTCTATTTCTCGAACGCGACATTCAGAAGGAAAGTATAAAAAGTGTTATATAAAAGTATCACGCGATTAAAAGTTTCCTTTGTATTCGTTTCCTCCCGCAATCGGATAAAGTCAATTTCGCATGAAAGAAACCGTTGAATTGTAGATGTAACTTAAACGTTATGCTAATTCAAGTGCTGTACGTTATTTCCATTTAATATTTCGAGACTTCGGATATTCTTGCGTTAAAAATTCCAAATTTCGAGAGAATATATTTATTCGCGCGACGTTTGACCAGCGTTATTTAATTATAGAAATGAGAAATAACTTATTTATCTCCTTCTCGGGAAAATGAGGGGACTAGAAGGAGACAGAAAATCGATTAAACTAAGGTTGATGTTAATCGATGTTAATAGAACCGGCCTTGCAACTCGCGCGCGGGACGGAATTCGCCGACGATCGACCGAATTATAACTTGAACCTTGGTAAGAGAGACCGTCCGCGCGACCGGATGCCAAGCTTACTTTAACGTAAGAAGATGTATGAGCCCAAAACGTGAGAGGCAGAAGAAGGAAGAGACTATTCGTGTGTACTTTAATTGTTTTATCATCACCGCGCCATCCACTTTCGTACCTCGCGCCCGCAACAGCCATCGCCGTTTTCTCGTTGCAACTCTGGCTATTATTTATCGTTACAACTCGATATCGCTGTGGAGTTACGTCGTTATTAACATAGTCGCGTTACGTTGTCTCGTTAATTATATTCTGTTATGCGTTTCGCATTTTGCCGAAAGTCACTATATATTAATACACGATTATATGAAAACGAACACACGCATTTACGCGCACCACACACACACACGCATACGCACCCGCGCGCGAACACACATACACACACACACACACACACACACACACTGACATGACGCACACAAAACATACGTACACTTACATGCAGTCGTAATAGATATAGCTGGCATTAATCGGCATCCTCCTTTGTCGCTGACCGACGCTGTAAAGTGACGCATCTGGCATGATTATAAATATATATACAGATATAAATATATAAATATATAAATATATATATAGATATTATATAAATATAAACTATAAATATATTATATATGTAAGGATAAGCGAGCAACATTTATCTCGGGTGAAATCACCTAGGATGTGTCGAGACATTTAAGATGATGCACAGGGTATAGATGAGAATCGTTGATATAATAACTGATGTCTATATTATAGATGTTTCTTTCGTTCCATCATCGGCCTCAACGTACACACACACACATAGACATAAATTACATAATATCTGTACACAGACGTACACACACACACAACACACACATATACAACACGCATACATATAAACGTACAGACACGATCACGAGTCACGAGTACATACGATCGAAGTTTATTGTAGTAGATGTTTTTCAGAAATCCAATCCGATTCCGGACGGCGGCCAAGAATAATAGATGTCATCGGTGTGTTAGTCGCGCAACAACGTTCATCGATTCGCAATCGAAAAGATGAGGATTAATATACACATAACTCTGGCCGGTCGGTGCGACCGGCACATCCAACCGCACTACTAATTAATTGACTCTTCGATTAATCAAATTAACTAACTGATTGTAAATTGATCGCTCTATATTAAGGACTTTACTATTAAGTATAAATATATATTATACAGATATATAAAAGTGTGGATTCGCTGTTGAACGTGTCGAATTAAACAAAGCAAAAAAGAAAAAAAGAACAAAATCCGAGAGTTAAGTAAGCGAGTAAGAGAGCTTGGGCCGGGATTTGTGCCGGCCTCCGACATATTTTTTAATCGCTTCGAACCTCTATTATTCTACCTATTAATTAAACGTAACGGTGTATCTACGTGT